TGCTGTTTTTTCACACATTTTACAGATACTCCTATCCAAATTGTATAGACTGCCGTTATGGAGATCCAATGCCAAATATCATTTTAAACTGACTGATGTGAAATCAAATCCAGTTTTAATATCCTGTTACTCGTTGCGGTCAGATCTGTTTTGGACTAAACGTATCATCAGCTGGAGATGAAAAGTATTTATTTCATAGCTGAACATTAAACAGAGACTAGCCTTAAAATGTAGCTATAATTTTTTTGAATGAACCCAATTTTTTGCAGCCAGAGCTTTTAGACGGGCCACTTTATAGTAAATTACATATATTGTGAATATTATTGATGTTATATGTCTATCAAAGGTTGGACCTCCTCTTACTCTCTCACTGGTTCAGAATCATGCTGATTTAATTATTGCCACATATGCGCTTAACTTCACTTTAATAGTTGCAAATTAAGATCTTTCCCTTTTTCCGCTTCTTCTGAATTTCAGGCGTTAGTCCAACGTCTCTATTGTTTGTTTTATCGTTTTGTTTTCTCTATTCTACCTGCCAGATTTTTCAAAAGTCTCGTAATTACAGTTATTTTCCCCCAGCCACAAGCAGTTTTAATACATGTTGAGACGGAGTGAGAGAGCCAGTGGTTCCCCCATTCTCGGTCTCTGTTGCTACATAGAAAACACCTTTTGTTTACCCAACAGATGAGTTGATCTCCAACACGGTGGAAAATGGCACATGAAGCCATCCGTACCCCGTTTGTCTGAGAATTGATGGGTCGTAAAAGTGAAAATGGGTCTTTCCAGGGGGGCAAGAAAATGGTTGAGACACGCTTTCCCCTGTACGCTTTTGTTTTTGCTTCTATTTAGTTTTTCCTTTTTCCATTTCACCTATCTGAACTTACCTGTTTTTACTCCGTCCATCTTTTACTCCAGATGAAGAGCAAACATAAGAATGAAGGCAGCGTTGGTCTCTACACATATCCTGTCCTCCAGGCTGCCGATATTCTCCTCTACAAGTGAGAGCACCATAGGAGTGTGTGTGTGTGTGTG